AGTCATGGTAATCCAGAAAAGAGATTGCTTGGCTAAGGACAAACATTTGCAGTTATAATCTATTTTTGATAACATTTCTTTTTGTAAGGTTTTAGGTTTTAGGAACTACAAGAGATTTCCCTTAAAAACTAAATTATTAATGACTGTAACTTTATGTTTGTAGCCAGCATATTTCATGACAACTGGATAGTTTTTTTGTTATTTTTCGGCCAACCTTCTAAGATAACTTTTATAAGTGTAACAACCAGGAAGTCTAAAGACCATTTGTAACTACTGTTGTTAATATACTATTAAGAGATTAAGGCAGCACTGTCACCAGTCAAAGGGTCCTGGAGTCCAGAAGGAACATCCATTCACCAGTGGCAAATAAAATAATAAAAAATTTAAATTAGAAGAACAAATATCCCTTAATAGCATAGTCGAACGGTTCTTATCAACTAGTTTTAGATTCTTCTGGTTCCCTCAGATTTGCAGAGGAAAAGCTGGGACACGTCGATTTTTAGTTTGGAGGGGGACACATTTTTTTCCTAATTGCATCATTGACACTTCAACCCTCGAGCAGTGGGGTGAGCAACCCCTGGGATTTGGATAGGGAAACGACTAAGTGTGGCACATATTTGCAAAGATAATTTTATAAGAAATTCAGTAATGCTAATATTGTTGCGTCAAATTCCGATATTAGCGTCCTCTTGAGGCTGAAAATTATGCTCCTAGAAGCAGAAATGCTTGGACACATCGATTTTTGGATAAGGAAAGTACCAAGAGTGGCACATTTTTGAAAAGGTAATTACATTTCAATTTTGTTAGTTTTTTAAGTTTACCTACTCTCTAAAAAAAGTAATAAACTGTAAAATTGATTTTTTTAAAGATTTATTAAAACGTTAATTTAACAGGTGTTGTAAATGTGACCCATTTGCTTCCATATAATAATACAAATTTTGTTCAAATCTATTATCGTTACTGGAGCCTTGTTAGGAAAATCGCCAAGACACGTCGATTTTTGATTTCTACAATGTACATTTTTGTAAGAATATTTTACCCTTAATTTCATCCCTTACTGGAGGGGTGCAACCCTTTCGAAAAATTTAGTTGACATGGGGTGGTAAGTGATAGCTCATTTGAAAGGATGTTTTATTCTCTATTCAACCATGCAAAAAATTTTGAAATTTGCTTCAATAATTCTCGACTAATTATTGTTTCTGAATAACGGAAATTAACGTAACGCACTCATCCTTAGAATTAAAATTCGGCCCTGCATGATATCAGTTTTGGTTCAGACGTGAAGTAAGACTTTTTGCCATTAGATAAGGTCACTGTTAGTTTAGTTGTTTTCCTATTTGTGATGTTCTGTTATTTTTAAACATTAATAAATAATAATAGATATGCTTACCTACTCTCGAAGATCAGGAAACGTGAAAGTCTCTGAATCACTATATTCACTTGATGAGTCATTATTTACTGATATTATTAAAGGTAAAAACATCTAATATTTTGTCCAGATTCCACATATTTTCTTCTTCTTTTTAACATAATATGCTCGATTGCCTTTTGCCCATTTTCCTTCGTAACAAATGATATGGAGGTTTATAACAATGCTTCTACATCTTTTAACTTAAATATCATATTATGTCGACCTATACGAGGGCCATTGCTAAAGTTCGCGGAATCAAGTACTCCTTGTATTGCCAGTGTTCTGCGATTGTCATATTCGTAAAATTTGACGTTTTTTACCTATCATTCAGTTGACAGTTCGATTTCAAACTGCTCGGTTTCGTTTCAACAAAATTTAACGAGAGTAATATTTGTGTGAAAAATGGAAATTTCGAATCGTGACTTCCGAGTGATGATTTTTTATGATTTTCGATACGATCTAACGCCGCAGCAATGTGAGGAAAAACTTAGTTCATTATTTGGGGATGAAGCACCATCCAAAACTATGGTTTATAAACGGTTCGCAGAATTCTAGCGTGAAAAACCAACGTTTGATGACGATCTTCGCGAAGGTCGTCCATGTACCTCTGTTGTCGCGAAAAATATTGATGCTGTGCGTGAAATGATTTTGTCAGATCGGCATGTGACCTATTGTGAGATAGAGGCATACTTAGGCATTGCAGCGAAACAAATACATACGATTTTGCACGATCATTTGCATGTCAGGAAGCTTTGCAGTCGTTGGATCCCACACAATTTGAAAGAAGAACAAAAACAGGCACGTGTCAAGTGGTGCAAGGAAATGCTAAACAAATTCGAAGGGGGTCGTTCAAATTCGGTAAATAACATTGTAACAGGTGACGAATCTTGGAATATATTCATATGGGCCTGAAACTAAACAGCAATCGACTGTATGAGTGTTCCAAAATGAACCTAAACACACAAAAATGGTGCGTTCACGAGGCGTTTCGAAAAGAATGATTGCTTGTTTCTTCGGAAAAACGGGTCATGTTGCAACTGTTGCATTAGAGGATCGAAGGACAGTTAATTCTGACTGATTTATTTCAATTTGTTTGCCGGAAGTTATCGCTGAAATCAGAAGGAACAACATAAACCGGCGAATCATTTTTCATCATGACAATGCAAGCACTCACACAGCACGACGAACTGTAGAGTTTTTGACCAAACACGACATCCAATTAATGACTCATTGCCCATATTCGCCTGATTTATCGCCCAATGACTTCTTCCTATTTCGACATATCAAAAATAAAATGCGTGGCAAGCGTTTTTCATCGCCTGAAGAGGCTGTTGAAGCATTTAAATCACTTGTTTTAAAGGCAAAATTGTTTTGAAGATTGGTTTCATCGGATGCAAAAATGTATAGATTTTAAAGGAGAATATTTTGAGAAGCAATAAAGCGATTTACATAACGTAATTTGTGTTTTGCTTTACATTTTCCGCGAATTTTGGCAGTGTCCCTCGTATATCCTTTAACTTGTGCTCAAATCAATTCAATAGGATTTAGTTTGCAGTGATAGGGAGGAAGACGCACAACATCAATAATATGTGTTTTTGCAAGTTCATCCACTACATAACGTACTGGAGGCTTATTTAATTTCACAATTTCTAGTAGTTCTATTTTTACTGATTTTTCTGGAATGTTAATGTTTCTGTCTGTTAGTCACTTAATAATATCATCTTTCTTCCAGGAAGTATTTGGCACACGTCCAATTAGACAGGAATATTTACTAGCGTTATCCATTACTATAACTGAACCCTTTGGTAAATGTTCTGTCATCTGCTGAAAGTATTGTTCAAAAACATCAGCGTTCATATTTTCATGGTAGAACTCCGGTTTTTTTAGATTGAAATATTAAAGAACCACATTTTGAAAACCCGTCGTAACTTTCAATATGAGTTAAAAATAGAAGTCGTCCTTTACTGGAAGGCTCCTTCAATCCTGTAGATAATCCTCCCAAAAAAGCCTGTGGTGAAGATTGAATGTTTGTGTCCTGCCACATTATGCTAACGTCCAGGTTTCGTCCAAATAAAATATTTTTTGCCTTCCGCACGTAATTTAAAAATGGTTCTCAGGTATTTCCGTTTCCAACAAACAATTTCATCCGAATGAATAAGTGCTGCTTTCCTGTCCTGTTTATCCCACTTGAACTTCAAGTCTATTAGAGTTTCCCGTAGTTTTGTCTTTCCCGTTTTAGGAAAATACGGATCACTATTGATTGCGTCCAAAACCTTGGCAAGTGTTGGTATCTCTTTTTTAAAATAAAATTCGTAAACTTTTCTTCTTATTCAGCTTTTAATTTGTTTAGTAAATTCCACTTTTTTCTTACCTCCTGCATTTTTCTTTGGGGGTTTAACAACTCCACTTTTTTAATTCACATATAACTTTATATATCGTTGATTTGCTTACACCCATCATATTACTTGTCAACAAAAAACGAAGGATTTTCCATTCTTAGGCAATTATAAATATTGCTTACAAATATTTTCTCGTTAACTGACAAGGCACACTTTTTATACGTTTCACAGGTGTAAACTTTGAACTTGAACCACACTATATTTTTCAATACTACAGTCACTATTAACCGAAAATCACCACAACTTCTTAGTGCAATAGATAATATAGAAGGATATCAAACAGGGTAGGTAATATTGGGAAATGATCAACATACTAACTGCAACTGTCTATATTTTCTTTATACCAAATCCTAGGTAGGTAACCATCTTATAATCCCACCCCCTTGTTCTCATTTTGATTTTTTCATGGCATTAGTAATTTCTAAGATGATAAAATAGCGATTAACCCTCAGATTATAGATTTCTATAATCTAAGGGTTTATCCCATTTAAATTTTTAATACAATAATTATAGTCACATTTATAGATTTTGAACCCTTAGATTACTTTCTATAATCTAGGATGAAACCTTTCTCTCCACTTGTCATTAACTTTCAACTTGACATCAAAAATGTCCAAGAAGTCAATGATGAATAACTCTACCATTTACATAACAATTGCAAATAACTTAAAAAAACATTTTGTAAAGTACCTATAATCCGAAATAATACTCAATAATACATATTCAAAAAAATATTTTTTTAAATGACTATTTTATGTACCCCGTAAATAACAATATAGGCACCCACACCTGAAATTTCCTGATCTAACAGATTTATTACTCCGTGTCTATTGTGATTCTACTATAGTACATTTGTTATTACATTGCCTATCCATCATCACTCATCGAAGCATCTTTGGCATTTACACACCAGAGGAAAGCCAGCAGTATGCTGAAGACCGTTAGGAAGATCGTCAAAAATATGGAAAGATAACTGGCAGTCTACTTCACAAGAAATTATGCAAATCAGAATGTAAAATACTTTTTGGAAATAAACGATTCATATAATCGTCTAAAAAAAATATAAGAAACCAATATTTGATTAAATGAGTTCCTTCTCTAAGTTAACAATATGACTTTCTCCTTTTCTCTGTTCTATAGATACTTGCATTTTTCCAGATAAGTAGGTAAATAATAAATCAAAGAATAAACGAGGTTTTTAAAAATATTTTAATGACTTTTTAATTCAATCTACACAGTCATCAACAATGCAACGAGTTTTGCACACTTTTTCAAAATAGTATGAAGAATCCTTCCTTATTCTCGTACGATTGGGATCGTTAAAGTCAATATATGCCAAACCAAATTTTTCACTAAAACAAAGAAAAGTATTTTAAAAAAAACGACACGCTTAGAGGCAACAAGGTCAATTTAATATTTTAACAATAAATTCAGTACCTAAGTATTGCAATATTTTAGTTTGATGAAAATTAATAATTCCAGTAGATCAATAATTATTATTTAATATTACGATGTATAAAAAGTATTGTATTATTTATTTTTGTTGATCTATATAATTATTAAAGTGGAAGTCCATGATTCTGATGTTGATAATTTCTGATTTATTAGTTGTTCTTAATATTCCACAAATGAAGATTATGATAAACTGAAGAAAATATCTGATTTGTCAAACACCTAACTTTCCTGTCTAGCTATCAGAGCTGGGTAATTCCTAGTTAAAAAGTAATTAATAATTACAATTACTTTTTTTTCGTGTAATTTGTAATAATTGCACTTAAGTAGTTTTTTATCAAAGTAATTTGGAATTGTAATTGCAGCAAAATATATGAAGGAATTGTACTTTGTAATTATATTAATTTATAGTTTCTAAATTGTCTGAATACAATTATTTGTCATAAGTATAATTACTTTTCCAATTACAATTACTTTTCCAATTACAATTACTTTTCCAATTGCAATTACTTTTTCCAATTACAATTACTAAGAAGCAGACCTGCAAAACGCAGTTTATCCGAAATTTCAGTTTTTTAAATATAGATGGCGATACAATATTGAATTGAATAGCTATCGTTTCATAAAATCGTGGATGTACAAATCGCATTATATCCTGCTTAAAATGTATTGTGTCCATCAAGATCTCCGTAACTAAGGCCGTTTCCAAGCACCAGTTTTTTGCCATTCCTGAAAATTTACAATTTTGGACAAACTGCGGTTTGCATGTCTGCTTTTGTAATTGTACTTTAAGTACAATTACATTTTTTAATTACAATTACTTTTAAATACGTGTTTGTGAGATGCATGTGATACAAAAACAAAAAATTTCCTGTTCGAACCGGTCAATAGAGCTCGAATTCACATCCATATCATTTGCTTGAATGCATTTGAGGAAAGCGTTATGCCTTGAAGCAGTGAAATTGTTCAACCCAAAATAAGAACAGTTGGGGGTAAGTAGATGCAGATATCCTTATTTCTAATACGTTATTTTGTATTTATATTATTATTAACATAATTTATGTTGCATAAACATTATAAACTAAGGAAATATAGTATGAAGTGGTGCAAATAGCAGTTTTTATTGGGTAAATACTAAAAACTACTTATTTACGTTGCGTAGACATTTCTAGTTATTATTCTAGTTTTCTACATTGAAATGTGGGCGTAGAAAAAACATAGTTTTCTATACCTACAGGGATATTAGCTTATCTACGCACAGATTAAAAAAGAAAAAGTAAGCTATTGCATTCAACAGCACGAATATATTTCATATCTATTTTAAGTAGTGAGAACACTACCAAAAAATGAAATCCACCAATCACAGTTCATATTTTGGATACCAAACTAATATTATTTTTAAAATTTTAAATAAGTAACAATTATTCTGTCAAAATAATTGTCAGTATATTTTTTAGTTATTGAGATTAAATATACACTAAATAAGGTATTTTTGTTTAGAATCGATAAATAATATTTTTATTTTTATTTGGGCCACAATTTAAAAAAAAATGTAATCAAACTATATGAAACTAGTTTAATTACGAGTATTATTACCAAAATCATAAGGTGGCGGTGGAGCTGAGGACAGAGCATCTGCCTTCCATGCGAATAGCCTGGGTTCAAATTTTGAAAAAAAAAAAAATTTTCTGTTGTTTATTTTATTTTATGAATAAGTAAAAAACATAAATGATTTTAAAATTAATTATTTTGTCTTAATAAACTAAAATATTACAGATTTTCGTTAGTGGTCGTACAAAAAATATACCGTACAACTCCATATACACTCTTGTTGCACAAACTACCATTTAAGTTTCAGTATAATTTGTCAATATTATACAGGCTAATTTACCAGGCATCTGACGTTTATAGCGAATCGATAAAGTTTTAAAATGGCTCCTATTTTTTAAGTATATATGACGAGGAAAGCCACTTTTTTAAAATTATTTTAAAAATGTGGGGTATTAAAGTTTTGTGGCACACCCTGTATTTTATTACATTTTTAGATTTTCGCTGAACTAATTTCATTGATCTATCAGACTTGAATTGTTAAAAAATTAAATTTTGAATTTTGAAATTTTTTCTGTCAAAACTATTCATAATTGATCAAAGTAGCTAACTTTTTCCTTCCTATCCTATTTCTTTTATTTACTACCTCATAATATTTAATTAAAACAAATACGAGGTGGTCAAAAATTCAGACTAGGTAAAATATAAAAGTACCTAGGTGTAGGTACACGGACTTTTGTATTTTTAATGGTACAGAAAACAATACACTTAGGGCTGGTTGTATAAAGCTTACTTAAAATTAAGCTCAGTTTTAGGCGATACATGTGAATTTCCGATGCTATATGTGCAGTCTAATGTTTTGGAAAACAAGCCCTAAATGCTAAATGCTATTTAGACTGTACCTATACCCTATACCATACAAAATTTGTCATGTCTCACCTCAAACCGAGTTTAACTTTAAATAAGATTTATACAACCCGCCCATAAGCTTTAAGGAATCCTTAAGAAAGTCGTTGCAAACTGTTAGTTTGACACTTTGAATTACCTATTTAAAATTTTTATTTGTACCGGTTCGATTGGTTCATGGTTCCTCAATTCTATCATAATTTGTTGTTTTATCGGCAAAGTAATTATAAAAGTAAATGCTAATTCCTTTTTTCATGTAATTGTAATTAAATCAATATAATTTCTATTTTTACAACATGTACTTTGTACTTGTAATTAATTCCTTTTTTGAAAAAGTACTTTGTAATTGTAATTATTTTTAAAGTACATGTAATTACCCAGCTCTGCTAGCTATTACATGCTTTTTCCGGTACAACCTATTTTATTACCCAGGGCTTTGTTAACTCTTTGCCCACAGTATGAAGTCTAGCGCTGGAAATATAGAGTCAAACGCAATGCTTCGAGAAGCTACCAGAAAAAACGGTACGTGGCCGTTGAGTCATACAGATGGAATTTTCGGACATTCGAGATCGTCTAGTAACTACTAGTACCGAACTAGCTTTATATAAATAGCGCGAGTAGTAGACGGAGGGCAGATTGAATTTAAGTGTTGGACAGAAAAGATAAATTGTAATACATAAATTAGAATTGTAAGTTATAATAGTGCCCAAGTATTACATAAATTATTTAGTACGTTGCAAATAAAGTGTATATAAAGTGTTTTAAATAAATAAACTATAAATTAATTAAATAAACGTTGCAATAATCCCTATTTTAAATTCAAAAAAGACCAAAAAGTTGTTAGCGTATTTATGCTTGTTTCTTTTATAAAAAATATTCGATTGTTACTTACGTATATCCTGAGTTCCATTCAAAGTTGTCCATTAAAGTCCAGACAACGTAGCCAATAACTTTTACATCATCATATATCATGGCATCTCTGATATTGCTCAGATAATCCTAAAAAATATTACATATAAAAAAAATTTGATATCGTACTTTTCTACTTTCTAAAGCCCAGCAAAAAAGAAATTAGTCATCTAAACTGAAAAGTTATATTAAAATTATCAGTTGGTTTTGTTCCTAACTAAAATAATTTAGTTTCCAGTTTTAAAATGACGAGTCGTCGAGATATCATCTTAGAACTTTACATTTACATAATTACCCTCAGGTAGTTTTTTCGAATTGGATCATCAAGTCTACCATCAGAATCTGAGTATCCATTCTCGCTGATCAATATTTCTGGATCAAAATATTCTTGTTTAAACCACCTTAATAATTTTCTAATTCCCCAAGGTGTTACCTAAAATATATCAATATTATAACTTTACAAGTATAGGTACCTAAAATACCCTGCGTTTCAAAAATGTGAAAAGTCGAACTAAAACAATTTCTAAAAGGTATTCACGCTTTTTAATAATAATTTGTTGGAACTAATTTCATATGTATTTAGAAAAATTTTGTATTTGATGTACTATACTCTTTAACCAAATGAATTTGACTTTCCTCGTATATCGTAAAAAAAATTGAAATGTTTTAAGTTATGTATCCCAACTATTATAAAAATTATTTATAAATTTTTCGCATGAGACACATTATATACATTGAGACACATTATATACAAATAAAACTTAGAGAACAATAGCAAGTATTTTAAACTATTTTGTAAAATATAGTGTGATTCATTTAACCTTGAAAAAATAGAGAATGTTAATTGTGTATCACCCTGTATGGAAACAAAATTGAAACAAAAAAATATTAAAACAAAATGCAGGACATTTAGAAATTCACTGCGTTTAAAAGATATTGAAAGTCTAATTATGTAAAAAGATACAGGATTATAATTTGGATAAAATTTGTTGATAAAAATGCCCAAATCCAGTCAATTACTCAGTATAATATAGTCAAACCTTATGTTGGAAATCCAAATTTTAAATATTATATAGAGTGTTACATTTAAAATAAGGACGTTAAGACGCACTTCCGGTTCGGTATCTCAAATATTTCAATTGACCTTGACCTAAAACTCCTTACTCCAAATTTTTAGATTTTTACTTTCTTTGAGAGGGAACTCATAACCAATGTAGTTTCAGATTGTCAGACTTGTTTTACTCACTTTGAGCCAAGGTGAAGCAGCGTCTTGCCACTCATCTAACTGATATTCATAAACTCCTTCGTCATTTTCAATTGTAGGATCTCCAAATGCAGGTTCTGGTATAGCTCTTATCATTGATGTGGTATATGTGTTAGCCGCCAAAATGTCGTTAGTTCCTAAACAAAAAAAAATTGTTATTAGCTACGAGGATGGGATAAATAATTTTCAGCCTGATCTAAAGTTGGCTATGATTTTTGTCATTTGTTTATGTCATTAAAGTATGTGTTCAGTGTTTTTTATTTGACATACTAATCAATAAGTTTTTTAAAAGCACGAGATGTCATAAAATATTTTCACAATAGGGGCTTAGGAAATTAAAGTTTAGTATTCTAATTTAGGCAAATCTGTTCCATCATGGGTTGCAGATTTTAAATGTGGCCGTACAGGTACTAAGGATGCAGGGTGCCCAGTAGGCCAATATCGGCTACGACGAAAGATGATCCAGAAAATTGTTTTGAGTGACCGTCTATTGAATTTGCTAGAGATAGCTGAGACTGTGGAGATTTAAAAAGTGTGAATACATCACATATTATGCAAAATTTTTAACATGAAAAAGTTCTCCGCAAGATGGGTGGCAATTGCTCACATTAAAGCAAAAACTCAGCAGAGTGTTTATTGCTATTTAAGCGCAACTTTTTACGCAGTTTTATAACTATGAACAAGAAGGTGCGCGAAAAAGGTTCTATCGGTTGGAGAGGTAACGGCGTTTGGGATGCAAAAGGCATTATTTTTATTGCTTACCTTGAAAAGGATATAACAATACATAGACAGACAATATTACCTAATTTGCAACAGCTGTAACAGAAATGTCTGGAAAAAATCCTGGATTAACAAAAATAAAAGTTCTGTTTTATCAGGACCAGAGATAATAGATACAGCCCTTCAATGATAAAATTTTATATTCACGATGCCAAGATTAAGTCGACAATCATAACACTCTATTTGTAGGTCAGCGGTGAGAAGACGAGAGCTGAGAAGTAAGAGAGGGGATAAAGAGAAGGAATTTATGCAGATACAACTCTATTTAATCAATGAATAAATGTGTAAGCCAGTGTGTAAGCGATGTGCGCTTATAATAAACAACGTAACGGTATAAGCCCTGTTGCCACTTCCAACTTACGATTACTAGGTTTTGGAGTTTATTGAAAATTATTACATTTAATTTTGTAAAATTACATCTAATTTAGTTAAATTTGATATAACTAATAATTCAAAATGTTTTGGGTTCAGTTGCAATAAAATAGGTTGAATTATTTTAGCTTTTTTAATATATGTAAATAATTTTGTAAATAAAACAAGAATAATAAAATAGGCATATGACAGCAGCGGATATTATACCCTCCCTCCTGTGTCCCTTAAAATATGTCTTATTCAGGATCGCACGATATTTTTTAGTAGTTTCATCTCCTGTTATCTCTGATCAGGACAATACGCCATCTCACGTGGCTAAAATTAATGAACTGAGCTTTGAATTACTGTCTCATGCACCATACTAGCCAGACTTAGACCCCTCGGATATATCTGTTTATTAACAAAATTAAAAAAAATCACGTTTGCAATAAATTTGGAAATTTGCGTCTGAGTTGAAAGATCAAATGCCTATTTTGAAGAGCTGGACGAATCGGTCTATAGAAGAAGCATTGGGCGACAAGGAGACTATGTCGAAAAATTAAAATGTTTTACTCGTATTTTGTTTTTTGTCTTTTAGGATGGAAATTATTCATCCCGTCCTCGTATATTTGAGAATATTTTAATAACTCGCTGATTTGCTGCAAGAACGTCATAATAATATGACCTAATCGAGTAACATATTATAACAAAAGTATAGTCACAATACAAAATAAAACACTGTTTTAGATATCTGAGAGACGCTTCCCAGCTAGCACAAAACGTTGCCAAGCCTTTCGGCGATGTTGCTTTAAGGGAACGTAATAACATACAACGTAAATGCAACGTACATGAGTTGTTGAGGGAAATCAAAACCTCGCAAAACTTCTATTTGTTACTTATCTATTTAACCTACCTGTTATGTTAACACAACGTAATAAAGTAATTTGAAAAAAATATCCACAAGAAGTACTGTAAACATCACAATCTGAATTCGGATCGTCTATGTTTATGTCAATTGTTAGTTATGTTTCTTGTCATTTGTCATGTTTTTGGTAGTTTTTTATTTTGGAGAATTTATTTTATAAATAATTATTATTTATATATTTGAGTAGATTTGGTAAGTTTTCTCTATAACATTTTCTAAACCATTGTCTTTTTTTTTCAGATTACAATGTCTGGTGTAAATTTAATATTTCATTTATTAGTTATCCAATACAAAATGGTTTTACTACAATAAAAACAAGGAATGGTAGATAAATCATTGCAAACGAGAAGAAACATTTAATCGAATGTCCAGTTACATTTTAGACCAAATACTTATAAAAGAGATATACAAAACTAACTTGGGTAATAATATACTTAATCGAACTAAAAATACATTTAAAAAATATTATATATTTTAGGTTTCCTTTGTACCCCATGACAATCTAGAAATTTTAGAAGCAAAAGTAAATACTACAGATTTTTCTAAAGAAGAATATTGATCTGCGGCCTCTTGGGTCTATTGTATTCCTCTGCTTTCCCCGTATTTAGGTACTATCTTTGGAATAGTCCTGTGTCTTTGGTTAGTTCTAATAGGTTCCCTACCAAGTATTCCTGGGGCGTTCTTTCCAGTTCTAGGCCGAAAAGGATGAAACGTTGCCTAGTAATAGCTTCGCATTCGAAGAAGAATATATAACAGTTATTCAGTAACTGAAATATGAAGATATGTGACTCAACAGAGTTGCCAATTTTTCAAATTCAATTTACCGTACCGTGGAATTCAAATTACCGTACATGGCCTTCTCAATACCGTACACTTTTATTTTGTAAAATAAATGCATATACATGAATATCTACATTTCCATTATTTAATTTTTAATAGAAATATGTATTATAAAAAAAATATATAAACACACAAATTAAAAATCGAAATTTAACTCGTCATTGTCATCTTCATCTGACCCATACTCATCTTCTGACGTTACAGTAGCAGGAACAGAAGTACATTTCTGATTTTTATAAAGTCACCTCGGCTCTGACGAAAATTGTCAATTGATATTTTCGGGGAATTGGAATCAGAGATTCTGTAATTCCCCGAAATACTCATTTTTGTCTAAATGTGTAATTCTAATTTAAATACGAGAAACAGTCCACTGCGCTGTGTAGTACTGCTTATCATTTATAGATGGCTCTGAAGTCTGAAGGGAATTATTAAGTGACATTAACAAATAAACAAAACTGATAATATTCTTACTCAACTCAAAATCTTTGCTAATTCTGTTTAAAATACCGTACGTTTACGTACATTTTATGTATATACCGTACTTTTAATGACATGGGCCATATACCGTACATTAAACCGAAATTACCATATAAGTACCGTAATTACCGTACCCTTGAAATTATTAGGTTTGTTCGGGTTTCTCTAAAACTTGATGCAAACCATCCGAGAACCAGTGAAACAGTTGAATTTCAAATTATTCTTCGCGTATCTACAAATATTAAACTCACTGGTCAACTATTCCAATAAGTCTACTGCCTCTAATTTCAAAAATTCTTGAACGTGCAGCCTATTTCCAAATATATGAATATCTTTGTGAAAATAATATAATCCCTTTGCATCAGTCGGGTTTTCAAAAGGGTTTCAGTACTTCAACAGCTTTGGCACATTTAAGTGACAATATTTTCAATAGTATTGATAAGAAAAAAGCAGGTGTCCTAGTTCTACTAGATTTTAGCAAAGCGTTTGACACCATTAATCATAGTCTTCTTATATCCAAGTGTCAATATTATGGATTTGATAGAATTTCATTAGGTTTCATAAAAACATACTTAAGTAAACGATCACAGTTAGTTACAGTAAACGGTCAGAAATCAACATCCATTCAAATCAAATCTGGTGTACCACAAGGTTCAGTCCTAGGGCCCCTGCTTTTCTTACTCTATACTTCGGATTTCTACAAACACGTAAATAATTGTGCAGTCCAATTTTTTGCTGATGACACTCAGCTGTTCCTCGATTTTTCGTCGAATGAAGTCATTACTGCAGTTGATAAGATTAATCAAGATCTTAAAAAAATTGATAACTATTCGTCTGATCATAACCTTCACATTAATGCTTCGAAATCCAAACTATTATTATTCTGTAGTAAAAATGTTAGACAATATATAAAGAACAATACAACTCTGATGATATCTGGTGAATCTATTCCACATGAAACTGAGTCTATAAATTTAGGGTTATACTTCAAATGAGGTTCAGTCAACATGTCAACTATGTGTTACAAAAGTGTTATAGTGGTCTTCGCTTGCTTTATTCTAATAAGCACATCCTACAGAACCAATCTATAAAACTAAAACTTTGCCAAAGCCTTGTAATTTCAAAAATATTATATGGAATTGTTGTGTATTATCCTTGTTTAACAGCTGCTGATCGTAACCGTTTGCAAATTATGCAGAATACATGCTGCAGATTCGCAAAAGGACTTAGAAAATTCGATCATATTTCCCAAGCCTTCTCCCAAACTGGATGGCTAACTGTTAATAATTTATATATATTTATGTTCCTTTCTTTTCTTTTTAAAATACTTTCTACTGCGTCACCATTATATCTTATGAACAAATTAACTTTTAGATCGTCTACGCACAATGTAAACATAAGAAACAATTTTAATTTATCAATGCCTCGTCACTCTAGTGCTATTTATAATCGTAGTTTTTCGTATAACGCGGTGGTTCTGTACAACACTTTACATACCGATATTAAAAAATCACGATCTCTACCTGTTTTTAAAAATGCTTTAAAAAGGCAACTCTTTATTAGTCAAATGTAAACTGGTAGATATAATGAGCTACTAATGTAAAATTGTATTGATAAACTTTTAATATTATAGTTATTTATATGTATATGTTTTGTTAGGGTTAGGTGTAAGAATAGCCACAGGCTAAACCTCGCCCATGCTAACTGTACAAAAATGTAATTATTTTGTGCAAATAAAGACCCGTTATTATTATTATTATTATTATTATTATTATTATTATTATAACTAGTCCTCTGATAGTTCTCAATCGATTTTTGAAGACCCGAACAGACCTAATGAGATGAGAAGAAAACCTTTGATACCGACTTAGGCGGCATCTAACGGCAATTACAGCAAGTTCAAATGTAACACTTTGCCAGACATAGGGCTTTTCTTTATGATCTTTAATGCAGCAAGTGAGCGAATTAAGAAAATGCATTTTTTTACTGTTCAATTACGTTTTTAAAACTGATAAAACTTTTAGTTTGTAGAATTATATCTTCGTACCTTTGATATAATTAATTTCTTCTTGTGTGAATTCAGGCAGACGTGATTTTTCGAAACCTTCACCTTTACTTCTCATGGCAATTCTAGTCTTCATTATTTCCGGCCAATCGCCGTAATACAACGGATGACCAAAGAAACCCCACTGAAACATGAATTTTTTGTTCGTAATTTTATTAATTTCTAAAAATCGCTAAATGAAAAATATTTTCAAATTCAGACAAATTTAAACAAACATTAATATCTAATACTATAAAAGATATATCGTGAGAGTAAAATGAAGGACCAGATCAGTTACTATGTCTATTTTAAACAGTAAAATATGTTAAAGGAATAAACAGATTATTAGTCCAATCATTATAGTAAGTTCACCTCGGAATTCGAGATACCCAGCTGTAAGTCTGTAAATACTTGTATATTGACACCCTAAAAGTTGTCTCAAAACCTACATATAGTAGGGTGTACGCATCTATTATTATCAATATTGTAGAATACAAAATTCTCTAAAAATTTTGTTTAAAAAAATTTTTCATACGGTGAACCGTTTTCGAGATAGATGACGGAGAGCGCGCGGTCACAGCATCACTTCAGGTCAACCGGTGCCTCCGGTCGAAAACGCGCCATATATAGTTGATGAAATATCGATAAATCAATGATTATAAATATTTGTCAATTTTTATTAACTATTATATTATATTTTATCATTTTTTTTTCCTAACCTATCCACTTTTTATTTAGTATTAATTTATTTAACAACACTTACCTGCCCATGTAATTGCAAAATTGTTAATGAAAATATAGGAATTATATTTGAATATTAACCTAATTAATATTAATAAATTCTTACATGATGAAAAAAAAAAACAAATAAATTATGAATTAATCTTTTTATTAAAAAATTTCATTCAATACATTTATTTTTATTAAAATTAAAAAAATGGAATAAAAGGTACAAAAACTACAATTTATAATTTTAATAATCTTCCTCTTCATCGTCGTCTTCCGGCTGCTAGTAAATTTCAAACTGGTCTTCATTATCGTCTTCAACGAAATTTCTCTCAAGTTCTTCCATGATTTCGGGGTCAAAGGTTCCATCTTCGTTAATGTCGCTCTGATATGGTAGAGCATTGAAACAAGCTTGCCCATTACATTGGCCACAAGCTAAAGAGCATTGCAAGCCCGCTATCCTGCATCAGCATCGCGAACCACAACCACTCTTGCAGTTGCAGAAAATTGTATTTAGCAAATCTTCTGGAGCAGGTGGTAAAATTGTCATGATAGGCTCTAGAAAATCGTTTCGCATTGCCCAACTCCATACCTGGGGTTCCAAATCATGCCTTAACCAAGTTTGAACTTATAATATACACGTTTAAAGGTTGATGAGCAGCTGCTTTTGTTGGTGGAATATTTGAAAGCTGCACAGGTTAATTAAGTTTTGTAGACTTGACGTAATGCATATAACGAAGATGATCGAGACTTTTCACAGATTTCGGAGCATTATAGACTGCCAATAAGATTTGAGTTCCACTCTCTTATAATCTCTGGGCCGAACAATTTTCTTTCTCAAATGCTGCAGCTAGTTCATTCAAATTTGTCAGTTTCTCAAAAACTTTAAAAAATGATTTTTTCCCTTTTTAAATTAGCCACTTAATGCGTGCAGAAATAAAATATGTGTTTTGGAATGAGGATAATTATCAAAACTTTTAGTCAAGTATATCCCCGTTTTTACATTTCCTTTCCCAACTTTTTTAAAGAAAATGTCTTGTTCGTAAGACAGTGTACGCCCAATTAAAATGACAAGTAAATCAATATGTTGTCCTATTATAACTGCAGTTTTTTCAGAATTTGATTCTTCAATTGCAGTTTCAACAATAAGAACATCAGCATTATCTCTGGCTTGTTTAGTAGTAATATTTGCAGCTTGTAATTTTTCAATTAACATATTAATGAGCATATCTTTGTTATTTCGATTTGATAAGAATTTTTCTTGAGTAACTGGTACAACTATTGTTTCATCTTCTCTGCTGCTCCATAGCTTTTACGTTCTTACTGTAATCTGAATTTTTTTAAACAAAATTTGTAGAGAATTTTGTATTCTACAATATTGATAATAAATACAAATAGCAAAAAACCCATAAAAAATGAGATATTTACAAAAAGCGCAAAAAACCGATTTTTGTGACATTTGACCTTGAAATTTAATAGTTGCGTACACCCTACCATATGTAGGTTTTGAAATAACTTTTAGCGTGTCAATATACAAGTATTTACAGACTTACAGCTGGGTATCTCCAGTTCCGAGATTCTTACCTAATTTAAGCTTAAATGACTGGACTATATATAGTTTTGTTAAACACTATAGTAATGCAGTAAAATTATTGAATGAAAAGTATTTTGGAAGCGCTAGTACAGATTGTACAAAATGTGTTCTGAGTAACAGTAATTCGTTTTTCTTTGACCCAGTAAATAAACAAGACGTTTTAGAGATAATTGGAAATTTAAAAAATACTAATTCTGTTGGAGTAGATTGCATACCCACTAAAATTATTAAAAATATTGCTTATTATGTAGCTGAACCTTTAGCTAATATAATAAATGTTTCCGTTCAGGATGGTGAATACCCTGAAGATTTGAAAGTAGGATTAATAACTCCTTTATACAAAAAAGATGATCCGCTAAGTTTAAACAATTATAGACAAATAACAGTATCAAATGTCATAAGTAAAATAGTCGAAAAGGCTATGTATAATAGGATGATTTCTTACTTAGAAAAGTATAAGATCATAACTAAATGCCAAAATGGTTTTTACCCTGGTAGATCAACGGAGAGCGCTATATATGATTTTGTTGAATTTTTATACAAACGCCTTGATAGCAAAAAGTTATTGGAGCACTTTTCTTTGATCTTACATAAGCTTTTGATTGCTTAAATTTGGATTTTGTGGAAACTAAACTTCAATCTTTAGGTTTTCGAGGAAATATGTTAAGTTGGCTAATGTCATATTTAAGACATAGAAAAATTATTGTCAAAGTGAATGAAACTTGTTCAAATGAAGGTAATGTAGATATGGGGGTTCCTCAGGGATCCGTATTGGGACCATTGATATTTCTTATATTTATAAATGATTTACCAACATACTTAAACGCAGATTGCATTGTTCTATATGCAGATGATGTGTCAGTGGCTTCTAGTGCGAATTCTCTAGAGGAACTTTCAAACAAATTGAATTTCCTCTATAACAAATTCAATGAGTGGTGTCTACAAAATCACCTAATATTAAATTCTAAGAAAACGGTACTGATGAAATTTAACATTACTAATAACATTGAGAATGTAATAACAGTGACAACAGATAATCTAAATATGACAATGTCCGAGTCTACAAAATTTCTGGGAACTTTTCTTGACAGCACCTTATCATTTCAATCGTGCATTGATTATATTAGTAAAAAGGTTAATAGTGGGTATTATGTTTTATTTCAACTAAAAAATATTTTAGGCAAACAACAACTTATAAATATATATTACGCAATGATATACTCTCATTTGTCATATAATATAATTGTGTGGGGAAATTCATCATCCTCTAATAGGCTTTTCATTTTACAAAAAAGAGTTTTGAGATTAATTATTGGTCTTAATAGAAGAATATCATGCAAATCATATTTCCAACAACTTAATATTTTAACACTGCCTTCTATTTACATTTATAAATGCATAATATATATTAGGAAAAAAATTAATGAATTTAGTAAAAATTTAGATAATCATAACTACCAAACCAGGCATGGTAATTTGTTACGAATTCCGAATCATAGAACAACGTTCTATCAAAAATGTCCGTCATATGCTGGCATACAATTATGTAATAAATTGCCCCAGTCAATAAAAGATGAACAAATTTTTAATTCTTTTAAGAAAAAACTTAAGGAATTCTTATTAGAGAATTGTTTTTATAATGTAGATGAGTACTACAATTTTAACTAAATAAGTATGGCTCCACTCGGTCTGTGTAATATTATTTATTTTTATTTGTTACGTGATATATGCTCTGTTTATTTTATATATATTTTTTTTTATGTTTACTTGCCTAAATTATATACATTCTTTGTAAAACACTTTGTAAAACTGACTTTTCCAATACCGTGTAGCAATGGTCTTACTGGAATAAAGATTTTTTTTTTACTCAGATAATAGGTTCGTAGGGTCCGATTACAATTACAAGGTCACAGTTACGTCATCATTTGTCAAAGTTATTAATTGGTTATCGACTACTACTGGGGGCATGGAGGAAGGATAGAGCTGTTTTTTAGCCACCACATTGGTTTAAAATATTTTTTAAACCATACTTAAAGTGACGTCATGAATTAATAGATGGCAAAAATAGGGTGTTTTAAAAATATAATCTGCTGTCATATGACAAAATTTTTAATTAGGTATTCTGATTTCGATCGTATTTTTTTACTGATTGTTAAATCAGATGAAGGATGATGAGTGTTTGATAGTGATTTTAAATAAAAATTGAAGTGTTTTTAATAGGTACATTGCAATCTGAAACGTTGTTTATTATTTTATTTTTGGTATTTTTCTTTTTAATAAACATGGCATCATATTTATTCCGTAGCTCCACAGATACGCGATTGTCTAACGATTATTTGCTGTAGATTTGTTGGGCTTTTCCAAAGTTCATCAACTGCCAAAGAACGTTTAATTGCTTTTAAATATTTGCTGGCAAATTCAGAATCTGAAGCAAACTCCGTAATTATTTTTGTAAAAAACGTACAATTGATAAGTAATCCTTTAACCTGATTTTAATTGAATTACTGTTTCATAATCAAGAGTAACCCATAGGTAGATCACATCGTCCAACTGTTTATGATGACCATAAATATTATTATTTGTATTATAACTAATGTATGAATATGAATCACATAATATATGTATGAAGTTATCAAAAATCAATAAAAATCAACAAAACGTCAAATATATCAAAATGTTCAAAGATGGAACAGAGCAAAACAACATACAACAGCCACAATCAGAATCTCTTATGTGTCAACCGTTATTGAACCATATGCCTCCGACTGGTTCAAACATTCTAGCTTTGGTTTAAAATATTTCGTACGCGACGTCATAGTTGCATC